TACTTAAAACAAAAAATAAGTACAATGTATTTATTGTGTTTATATTGTATTGCAAAACACTTTTGCTGCTATTGAGGCGAGATGCGGGTAAGGTTAGGGACAGGTTTGATGGTATGAGTAGGTTCAAGGGTGGGTTAGGGTGTAAGGGATGGGTCAACAGTGTAATTATAAATGTAATTACAGAAATTAATTACAGATGCAATTACATGCGGGCATTTTTAAAAATACAAGTACAATGTAAAAACATGTATGTACATAATAAGTGCATTGTATCAAATGATTAATTTAAATGTAAGTACATAGTAGTTAAGGCCATCTGTTATCCAAAGCAACTTACTAAAATATTTCAACACAAGTATGCATGCTTACTATTGTACTTGCTAAGTATGTACACCTATCAAGTGCATATACCTGGTTGCCATTATAGGTCCAGGAGCCAAAGGTAAGGTTGCACTCCTGACTATCAAAGGGGAAATAAGAGACGTCCACCTTACAGGAACTCTTAGTGATGGCAGGGGAGTCCCAAGTGATCTCACCATTATACCTCAACACCACATTCGTGTCTGGGGGTCCGGAAGAGTCCTCCTCGTCCGCACTGAGTGAAAAACAAATATGGAGGTCAATAATTCAGTTTTATATGTATTCATGAATCAAATTTGAGCCTGTTGTCTATATTAGTTAAGAATGAATGAATGTTTACATTCTCATATTATGTCATATTTAAATTAACAAATTAGTATGTTTTATGCATTTATGCAAGATAATGTGTGTATGTGACATGTATTTACTTGTTATACAGAACGATGTCTGGTCTCCAAACTGGGTATTCGGGTATTCGAATGACCTCAAGTCCATCATACTCATCTTTATCCCAATGCAGATAAGCATCATGCCAGATCTGACGCACCCAAAGGTATGTGGTCAACACCTGGTTCCTTTCATCCTAGCACAAAGAGTCAAGCACAAAGCAAAAGCAACTTTAATTTACAAACCTGCACATAATTTTTGATTTATTTAGGCTCTGTATATATGAATTAATCAGTTATTTGTTTTGTGAATAACCACCTAAATCTTGGTCTATTTATCATACATAGTGATCACAGAAGACATGACTAGAGTTGTATGGATTTCTTTTGCATCTCCTTATGTCCTTTTGGAGCTTGAAACCCTATGTGCTTACTGTGAACATGTTCAAATGTGATAAGGTTAGATAACTATTTGTCTTTGAGGTAACAGTATGGGTTACATGGTATGTTAAGACCAAGTATGCAGTCACACAGGGTCTTGCACTGCAAGGTAAAACCCTGTTGTTGTACATGGAACACTTTCTCACAACAATGAAGAATGAAAGGAAAGAAAGTCTGAACTCTTGGGTTGCCCTTCTACATATCACATCTCATTGGTTAAAAGTACTCCTTAGGTTCAGTAAATTAATATTTGATTGAGTTTGATCAGGGCGGAAATTCAGTGCTTCTTGAATGAGAAATTCATTGTCTCTTTCTGGAACACACATAACAATGACCACCAGTATCTTATATAACCATCATCCACAAACAGACAGAGACACAAACACCGAATGTAAAACCATGCAATTACATCTGCATTAGAGCATTTAAATAGGTTGTTCACCCAAAAATGAAATTTCTGTGATCATATACACTAATTTGCAGTATTTTATGCAAACAGGTGTTATTGCTTCCATTGAAGCACAAGATGTACAAGATTAAACCGTTCTGAAATCATGCTGGATAACAATTTTTCAGAAACTTGTAGAGTTTATTCAGCACTTCAGTTTGAAGCCATATAGTAAGATATTCTTAAGTTTATATTAATTTGTTAATTAAATGTTTCACTCAATTTGCTATACTCATAATGTGTGTGTGTGTGTGTGTGTGTGTGTGTGTGTGTGTGTGTGTGTGTGTGCATATATATATATATATATATATATGTATGTAAAAGGCAAAATTTTATAACAAGTAAATAAATAAATAACCTACTGGAGAGAAAAAACTACACATCTTATTATCCAACACTTTTGTAGGTTACTTGATCACACATACTGTTGCAATAAATAAACACTTTGAAGTGAGGATAAAACATGATCCGCAGTGGCACACTTGCTAGAAACTATTATACATTAGTCACGCAGCTCACACTATACATACAGGCATATAACGTTTACATTGTCACAAGATACAGAGTTGATGAGAAGAGGATACACATGTTAAACATTTGATAAGTACTGACACCTAGAGTTATCCATAATAATTGCAACAATAGTGAAGACCATATCTATTACAGTTTTTCTCAAATGCTAAAACACAAAAGCCAATCCTCTAAACCAAATGACCAGTTGTCTAAACACATTTACTAAATCTAGCCATCATTTTCCAATATCATAAACACATTTCACATGAAGACAC